GTTTTTTTTAAAAGAACTGCATTTATTAACAGTAAATAAACACTCTATCCTTTGACATATACTGTACTTCCTCCCCCTTTCAGAGATGGTGATCCATCAGTGACTCATCGGCTACAACACAGTCAGCTTGCTAGTTTTCTACCCCCTTTTTGTACAAACTATTTTCAAAATACTTATTTTTTTTCCACATAACACAGTAGGGAAACTCACATTCATTTCACTGTGAACAGCCTTTGTGGTAAAACATTAATATGCAACGATTTTTTGAAAAAATAACTGCATTTATAGCAGAAAAAATCTTTCACAAGTAATAATTATCATCCTTTGACGCATGCCCACCTAACCATATACTTCTTCCCCTTTTCAGATCCATCAGTAATTCTCACTGGCTTCAACACAGTCAGTTTTGACCACCACCACCAGAAATGCACTGATCTCCTCTTTCAGCTCCCACACTTGTTGCAACACTTTGCCCAGACTTGACCAGCGGACACGAGAGTGGCAAAGCAGGTCCTGGTGATCTGCATCAGTTTCCTCCAGGAATGCAATAAACTGACGATGCTGGGTTCCTCGTGCTCGTGTGAAGTTAACAAGTTTTACAGTTGGATTAATTACATGATTAAGCTGCAATACTGACTTGCACAGAGACACCTGATGAATGATGCAGTGAAGGAAAATAACATCATGTTCAGGGTTTTCCTCTTTCACTTTATCGTGGATTCTTTTCAGGTGATCCATCCGTGGTGACGCTGGCAAGCTTACTCCAAGGTAGCTTCAATCTTTCAATGGCAGCCGACACCCGGTCAAACAGGTCCTCTCCCCGGGTTTGTCCTTTCAGGGACTCCATGGCCAAAAACTCCTCCATTACCTCAAAATGCTCGTTAATCCCCCGAATAAAAATAAGGAGCTGAGCAGTGTCTTTTATATCATTACTTTCATCCAGTGCCAGCGAACATAAATTGAAGGATTCCGCCTTTTCGTTTAATTGGCTGGCTATGTCTTCATCAATTAGTTCCACGTGACGAGTCACAGTCCTGCGTGATACACTAACCTTTTCAAACTTGTCTTTGCTCTCCAGACACAAAATACCTGCAGTCTCCATTATGCATTCTTTTAAAAACTCGCCTTCTGAAAAAGGCTTGCCAGCCTTTGCTATTTGGAATGCTAGCAAAAAACTTGCCTTAGCTCTTGCCTGTTGAATCGTAGTTTGTCGTCAAAAAAAGTTTTGCTGAGTCTGTAAATCAGCTGTCAACCTCTCAGCAGTAGCCGCTCATTCTTGTGTTGATAGCTTGCTAGCGTAGTTAGCATGCCTTGTGGAAAAATGACGGCTGATATTGTATTCTTTGAATACTGCGACTGTTTCTTGGCATATCAAACAAACAGCTGTTGATTGAAATTCAGTGAAAAATATTTTGTTGTCCCCTCTTTATTGAAAACTCGACACTCACTGTCCACCTTTCTTTTCTTCGGACGACTCATTTTTATGAAAGCGTAAAAGGGGAAAAGCATGAAAAAGAATAAGTCCAACGTAGACAGATTCAGTGAGCGATTTGTGTAGAGCGCCACCTTGTGGATGACAGAAAATAGAAAATTACGTTTAAATTATGTAATGTCGCTCTGTTTAACAACCACCCTGTATTTGGGGTTGTTTAGTACTCTCATAATGGACAATAAGTCCTGTGCATTTGGGAATATTTTTATTTTTTATTTTATTTATCCAGTGAAGTTGATTGAGAACTCATTCTCATTTACCACGACGATCTGACCAAGAGGCAGATCGTTGTTGCACTTCTCACTTGCACTTGATTAGCCAAAGTATTAGAGGAAACAGAATATTACTCAATATACCTGCTTAGAAACTGATAAGAGTTGCGCAGTTAGCTAGTAGTGATAGCTAGATTTGTGTTAGCTTTGCTATTCAGAATGCTAGTTAATGTGGTTTGATGTGAATTGCTTACTGTGCTGTTTTTGTTTGGAACGAAGTTCTTTCTGTTTATATTCTTGGGGCCAACACCTTGGTCCTCGGGACGCCCATGAAATTTGTGGAAACCGTGCTATTTACAACATGGACAGTCATCGTTGCAGAGCACGTTTCTTGCATGCAGTTTTTTTCCCCAAATCTGGAGTTTTCTGTTGCTAATAGAACAGCTGATGACTACACACATCCTCCCAGTCTTCCTTGAACTGGTCACAAAAGAAAAATCTTCCAATTCCAGCTGGTTATTTTCAAATTCATGCTCCACAGGGCCTGACTCTGTCTGGCAATAAACAAATTTAAACATATCTGCGTGTGTCTGACTACCAAAATAATGGCGGAGACTCGACTTCCGATTGTTTCTCTGATTCGGGCTATTTGGAATGCGTCATCTACTGGAGAACAGTAGGCATTGTAGGGAAAATGACAATTTAGGTTTAATAACACCATGTACTATAATTCTGGCGGGCCAAATTAAAAATCCCAACGGGCCGTATGCGGCATGCGAGCCGTGGTATGCCCATACCTAGTCTATACACATCTGACCACAGGGTGATCTACTTATTCCCATCTGAAACTTCATTTAGTTCTTTTTCTCCATTTGTTTATATAGTTTTATTTGCCCCCCCAGCCCCCCCCTCACCCACCCCCCCCCCCCCCCCACCCCCCACCCCCCACCCACCCGCTCCATCTTTCTCTGGCCACTGACATCCACAGCGGGCTCCTTCCCGCTCCCATCTCTTCAGGCTGAGGAGCTTCCTCTCTGGGGTGGCGAGCGACGGGGGTGGCAGTGGCTGCCGACGTCCTGGTGGAAAGGCCCAGACACCGAAGGGCCCCACCGTCCAGCCGGTGGGCTCAGAGCCGACACAAGGCTAGTCACAGCTGAGCGCGGGTGTCCGGTTTCTCTCGCTGCCAGTCAAAACTTCCCCCTTGGATGCAAACGGAGGAGGAAAAGAAGGGGGATGACAAGTTAAACAACCCCAGGTGTGCGTACACACACAAAAAGAGAGGCTTAAAAAACAAAAAAAAAGGCATAAAGGTTTTCAGTTTGACTACAAATCAGTAAAGTGGATACAATTATTTTTTGGGTGCGTGATAACAGCAATACGAGACATTATGTTTACACAGAAACACACGACTGCTGTAGGTTATATTTATAGCAGCACGTTTGTTGGTGTTATTTATAGAGTCGACCAGAATAACTTTAAAAGGGATGAGCTGCTTTGTTTCAGCACCTTTGTTTCACGTCTAGTCACAGATTGTTCTGGTGATCATCAGGCTTTTAAGGTTTAATCACGATGGATCCGTTTCTAATATTTTCTGGGCAAAATTGGTGCCTGCATGAAAATTTTCCTTGTGTTTCAGTTTTGCAAATGATTTAGTGATTTGTGTAAAACAATAAATAATTGAAGTGTTTGCTTCTCCCTTCACAGCTGTATCACAGAGCTACTGTGAGAAGCTGAGATCTGAGTTGTTTTGGGAGATTCAGTCGATGTGCCAAAACCATTCAGGTTTTTGTTTGTAGAAGTGCAGCTTTGAGCATCACATTCATATAAAAATACACGTGTGCCGCTTTATTAATTTACCCGTTTACTTGGGAGACTCTGGGTCTTTAGTTAATTTTCCATGAAGTTTTAAACTCTTCTTTTCTTCCCCAAACTTTGATGAGAGCTGGTGAAGGTTTCCCCGAGTGGAGGAGCGGCTCTGTAACGATCCTCGGATCCTTCTGGGCTGAGGGCGCCACACAAACAGCTGCCCCTGTGAGCGCTCAGTTGTTGAACCTCATATTCACATTAACCTCAGGCTGCAGAAATAATGAAGAGCTTGATGTTTGTGGCGCTCGTCTCACACACAGAAACCAAACAGTCTGATTGTTGATTATGAGGCTTCTTCACCGTCTTGTCAGCACTGTTCAGCTAACAGGATAAATTAATTGCTACACAGACCAATAAATTTGCTTTATGCAGTAATAATCTCAATTTTTACCTCTCTTAAAAGTTTACCATCGAAATAATTTCCTAAACAGGGATTTGTTTCCTCACAAAATCATTATTTTTGATTTTTTTCTCCCTAAAATAATGGATTTGTTGCACTTGAATTAGATAAAAATGAGTGTTAAGCACACTGGGCATTTCCAGCATTTATTGTAATTGCTGCAGAGGTTTTATCAGTCCTGCGTAATCTACTAAACATACCAGTACAAAGATAAATATTCTTATGTTCCGGTTGTTTTTGATAGATGCTATTCCCTCACACACACACACACACACACACACACACACACACACACACACACACACACGCTCTTCTCCAACTTTGTTATCAACAATTGACACAACAATGCTGGAAAATATCAAGCTATCATAATTAGCTATTTTATTTTCCCACAGATATCTTCTACCGACATGCTAAAGAGCCCCTTCGAAGCAAGAATACGGGTTTAAGGAAAGGTTAATTTTCAGATGGTGCTCTCCTTGTTCCGTGATGAGAGGGGAGGCATGGAGGTGATGGTTTTGGCAGATGGGTGCAAGAAGGTTAGAGAGAGGGTGCAGGAGTCTTTTGGAGGAGGAGAAGAGGGTATTGGGGCTTGGAGTGACAAGGTTAGGGACTCGGGTTGTGGGGTGTTCCAGGTCAGAGTCTCGAGTTCGAGGCTGAGCTCTGAAGGGTCGTCTTTGATGGTCTGCATCTGAAACGATACATGACCTCAGACTCTGGGATGATTGGCGTGTTGGAAAGAAGGTCTGACGGCTCAAATTCATCCTCCTCACTGTCCTACTCTTCAGCTTGAAATCCCAAAAACCTTCGAGGGTCAACATGTCAACCCTCAGCTCATTGCTTTATAGAACAATGACCCTATTTTTAAGCTTTCTTCCATGGAAATCACGTTTCTGCACCTGAATGCTTCTGAAATGACCTTTCTTTTTTCCAAAATCACTCATGGCCACGAGCACTGTTTAGGGGAGATAAAATAAATACTTGCACTTTTCTTTCATTTCATTAGTTTGTTTCTTTTCTCTTCTGATAGGTTTTCATCATTGTTGTTTGGAACTTTGAGATTTATATGATTCCTCTGGCTCTGCTGCTTCCTCTGGCCTGGAACTACATTCTCTTCGCTTCGGGGAAGGATACGAGACAAGATGTGGTGAGTCGCCCCTGCACTCCTTTATTTTTATTTTAAACGTCAGTTACATTCATTTATTACTTTTAATTAAAATGCCTTCTGGACGTGATATCATCATAATCAGTGCAGATGCACAGATGAACAAAAGACCAACATGCTCTTCTGAAGAAATTTGAGAGGACACCTTTTCATGAAACTGTACTTCTAAACTTTGAGCAGAATCAGAATTTAAATTTTATCAAAAAAGAGAGGAAAAAAATCTATCTGCCAATTTTTGTTAATGAAAAACTCCATCTGCCACACAAGGAGCTGCATTCTCGCCGCATCCCACATTTCTCACTTTGCCTTGTTTGAGCCTAAGAGAAGGGAGAAATAATAGGCTGTCACCTTGAGCTATGTTACGCCACTTACCTGGTGGTATATTTATTTAATTCATTTATTTTTTATCTCTTATACCAATTAAATGATGTCAAAGCAATGTCATGGAGAAACAGACATGTTTTAATCATGGCCAGGCACATTTGGAGCGCAGAGAGTGAAAAGAGAGTGAGAGCCGGACTGTGGAGTGAGCGTGAACAATGAAGTGATTAATTTTAATAAGTGCCTTCTTCCAAGACTCAGTCGGAAATAACCCGTTAAGAGACTTCAGATTTTTCTGGTGCTCTCGTCTTCTATACGTGTATTTATCCCTTCCTAAGGAATTTTTTGGTTAGATTGGATTGGATTTCGAAGCTGTATTAAATTTAGTCATTAAGATAAACCAAATCTAATAGCTGTCGGTCATTGTGATGTTCCACATAAAAATGGAATTAGTTGTGCACTGAAGAACGACAAACAATGCAGATCTGGTAAGACGCTGGAGCTCGTCTTCTTTTTTTAGACCATCTTTGATCATCTTAAAATAATAAAAGTGAGATAATTACACTTTCTAATGAAAAACTGTCGAAACATTTTAAAATCCTAATTTGTAAGTATGATGTTTACACCAAAACATGTATGTTTACATGCAAAAGCATGCATTTGTAAAAAACAGACTTGCAGTTCTTGTTGTTACCTGTGGATGGCGACATTGCTTGAGAAAATGTATAAGTGAAAAATGAATCCCCCCCCCCCCCCTGTTTGAAACTAAACCCAGCTTGATTTGTCCACATGTGCACTTTTTAGATAAAATAAGGCATGAAAGTTTGCACATGCCTGTTATCGAGCATATCTACCACCAGCTAATGCAAACATTAGGTATTTTTTCTGTTTATTTATTTATTATTATCTTTTTGACATATTTACTGAGTTATTATAGCTGTGTGGTTATTCCAGCATTCATTCCAATATTTACTTGATGATTTCAGACAAATTTTTGTCATTTGCCTTAACATTTCATTAAGGTTGTGCACGTTTTAAATCATAACAGCTCTGCGGATATTCGATCCAATAGAAGTTTCTATTTTCTGACATGAGAAGTGTGCCGTTTTCAGGAAAACTTGCATTGTGACAGGATAGAAAGTTGGCATTTGAGGAGCAGTGGTGGTGTTGGGTTTGTGGAGAAGCTGTTTTCGACTTCTGGTGAAACTGTCAGAGAAAAATACTCAGGAAAAGCAAAGGGGATAGCGTTAGTGTGTGTCTCATCAGCAAATGCAGTGCAGGTTTGCCCATCATTCATTAACACAGAAGGTTCTTTGTGCAGCACGGTGGTTTTGAACAGTTTTCTGTTTTATTCATATGTCAAAATTCAACTGTAATAAAGGGATTGATGATAGCTTGCATTCCAACACACATTTCTCTAAGAGTTGAGGTTGCATTTGGTAAAGTTGTGCAGAAATCCTTTGCATGCCTACAAGTGGAGGAATTAACAGCTTCCTGCTGCTGTTGGGCTCCACAAAAAAGTCATACCTTATAAAAATAAAAGAAAATGTGGTGGCGGCATTTTTGCTTGCTCCGTTATTAGATCTCGTCATCTTTCAGTCACGATATTATCGTATATCTAGACCTGCACATACAGAACCAAGTAAAGTAGATTGTTCTCATTCATTATTTTAAGGCTTTAGAAGCACTTGAACTCTGACAAGAATCCACTGAATCCTGTCTCGGTTTGTTTCCACTTTTTCCCAGTCAGTGGTCTGTGGAGAGGTGGAGGATCGATCACATCGAGTGTATTTGTGGTTCTCTACTTCCTTCTCTAGTCCTCTGGATTCCTTTTCTTTATCAGGTTGAAGTCATTGGCAAAAGTTCCCCCCTGCACTTGGCAGAGAACTGGGGCGACAGAAAAGAAAACAGAGGGGAAAGAAACGATTTCTAATTACTTTAAACAACACACCAAATTAAAGCATTGTGCTGGGCTGAGCAGGGGTTAGCATCTGGAGCACGGCGGTTTTCCAGCAGTCTGGGGTGAGGGTAATACTAAAGGAATCTTTGCTGAACTCCCTCTCAGGCTTGGAGAGGAAAAGGGAGGGGGACAATTGAGAGAAACAACAAAAAAATAGTTCACTTGAGTACAGACTTCTTAATGAACTGGCCTTGAATCACCCGATGGGTTCAACGTTCCGACCCTTCCCTGGTTTTACACCTCAGCCACAGTCCATAACCCTGTCTATGGCGAGTAAACAAACACAGTGTTCTCCACACGCAGTGATTCTCCTCTCAGGGTCACTGACTGCTGTGTGGTTACATGCTGCTTTGCAAACAGATCCCGAATCAGCGCTTCTTACCCTAGCCCCAACCTTGACCAGTACCTGCTAAGGAGTCAGATCGTCCTATAAACAGCGATTAAAGGAGGCTCTGCACCGGTCAGGTCTCTGACCTCTCCTCTTATCTTGTAGCTCTCTGACCTGTGAACGCTGACTCTTTTACACTGCCAGATGACCGTGTGCCACGTGCATGCTCCCTGAAACAAGCAAGAGGGGCTTCAGGCTCTCGTTGAAGGTTTTACTTTGGACACTCAGAGCTGGTAATCAGGCAACCCTTTTGGGAGGAGGGTGAGAATTTATTTTTCTAAAGCAGAGATCACCTTGATGCTTGATCACACAGAAGACGGCTGTTTCATAACAGCGTTTTGTTATTTCTGCTTTACTACACTCTAAAAAATTAAACCAAATTATGTTAAGTGGTTCCACTAAACTTAGTTGCTTGAAGCTCCCATTCACTGATTATTTTAACACATTTTCTGAAGCTTCTAGTATCAATGAAGGACTTATGAGTTGTTTTCTGTGGGTAAAAAGCTCTGGCGCCCTTGTTTCAGGAAGTAGACGTTAGCTGGAGGAGTGGGGGTCAGAAAACGGCAAGATTTGGGGTCTTACGTGTTAGTATTTCCGGTACGATATGATTCACGATACAGCTGAGTGGCCTAGTGGTATGAGCCTCTGCCCTGAGATTGGGTGATTGTGGGTTCAATTCCACGGTCGAGCCATACCAAAGACTTTTAAAATGGGACTCAACTCCTCCACACACAGCATGAAGGGGTTTGCTTAGGGGGTTGAACCACCAAATAGTTCCCAAGCACGTCTATATCTGCAGCTCGCCGCTCCCTCAGGGCATGGGTCAAATGCAGAGAACAAATTTCACCACACACCAGTGTGTGTGACCTTATTGAATACCTTGTGTCTGATTAGCTAACAGCAATCAAACTCTTCCACTGGCTCCGTTTACTCTGTAACGTGCATGTTTTATCTCCACAAATAATAGAAGCATGAAGGAGGTCTGCCATGTTGTGGAGTTGCTAAAGCTAACGTTTGGCTTCTGCTAGTCAAGGCGTACTCTGCTCACTCCAGGCTGCAAAAATAAACACAGCCATCCCCGGTCATGAGCCAGGATGCGTGGGTCCACGAATGCTAATTTACAGCGAGACGTAGATCTGTGTGGCTTTTTCTGACCCGGTCGCTTGTGTTTTATTTCGGGGGCTAATACAGGAAACAGGTTTTTAAGTTCCTCCTGAATGTGAAACTGAGAGTGACCGATCGTATTTCAAACATAACAAGTAAAGAAGCGGTTTCTACATGAACTTGCTCCTTGGATATGAATAGTAAATACATTTACTTTTAACATAACAATCTATAAGATTGTATATTACATTTAACGTTTAAGAAATAAGGTCTAATTGCACCAGTGAACATAACTTGTTTAAGTAAATTCAACATTTAATTTTTAGAGTGTATGGTGGGTGCTAGTTTAACAGGCAGGGACACATCCCCACAGATATCCCTCCTCGCTGTTCTCTTGGCCCAGAAAGCCCTAACCAGATGTTATAAAGGTGTTCGCTTCGGCGCAGGCTGTTACAGAGGGTACATACGGAACATGGTGATGTCTCTTTCCACCACAGAATGACGGGCAATTAGGCCTCGTCACACTGGAGGACCATCCTCTTTATCCCTTGCTTCAGACCATTACACTGATTCATCCATTGGATCCACCAACCTATTACGGAAGAGGAGACCCTAATGGCCTGAAGATACTTCATACTTAGAAACGTGCCTCCAGCAGCAAGAAAACCCACCATTTTCAACTCGCTCTGGTGTTAGCACTCTGATGCAAACAAATATGTTTATCATTCCTGATAGAGCTTGTTATCTGTCACTGTTTTAATCTTACTATGACATGAGCCCTGCTTGAAACCATTCGTGTAAAAATCTAATTTGTTTCCAAGACTATTTGAACATTTTATCATTTTTAGTACAAGACCTCATTGCCATTATTATACATTCAACTTTCTTCCTGATTTTGCATCTCAAACACCTTCCCCGCGTCTCTGAACACTCTCTGTCTTGACATCTGCCCTCATTAAGGGGCACGGAGAACACAGGTAGAGGAGAGTAAATATCAGGAAATGCTCTGCCTATTATACCCTGTCTCCTTCAGGAAGTCACACCTCCACTTTTCTCCCCCACCTCCACCACCAGGAGAATAAAACTCTGGAAAGACAAGGAGAATGAGGAGAGGAGATGGAGTGGGAGCAGGAGACAGGAAAAGACAGAGAGGCTTTCTGAGAGACAGAGCAGCGACGAGACGGAGGCTGAGGGAAGCTGCCGCGGTGG